ATATCGCCGCGCGTTAAATCATCGCGCGTCGTAACGTTAATTGAACGCCGGTAACGTTGAAGAGATTAGATAACAACATTCGTAGGTACATACGCGCATAAATGTGCGCCACGAACGATGGCGAGTGAAACGGCAAAACACAGAAAGCGAAATGAATCGGTGAATCTCTCTAAATTTCAGCGCAACTTTCGTCGAGACACTGCGATTTTAATTTCTTGTTAGAGACAGGGAGACGAGAGAAAGAGACGAGGAAGAGGTATTAGTCGACGATTCAGGCCGAGACTAACGCGCACTTTTCCTCGACTGCACGTTTCTCTCGTCTGCCATCGACGCGGATGATTTCTTTCGTTTGCGCCTTTCTTTTTCAATTAATCGATTTATTAATTTTACTCGATACATTCGTATATCCGAGCCCTTCGCTCTCGTCACCGTTCGAGATTTGCGATTCGTTTCCAAATCGGGTCGCTGCTGCATTGTTAATTACGTTCGATCTTTCGTTTATTACCTCGACGTCCTCGAACGGTTTAAATATTTTTATTTAAAAAATTACGAACTCCAATACCGAATCGCGTAGCAACAAGCTGAAAGTATTGGAGCAAAATTGGTCGAACGGGAAGGAATTTTTTTCACGATGATTCGAGCCGAAAGGTGTTTCTGGACGAGCAGTCGATTCCTTCGACTCGATTAGAACGAAGAGAAGAAGAGGTGGCCGGTTCCGTGGCCGGTTGCCATGCCGAACAAGCTCGCTGCTGCTGTTGCTCCAAGTGTCAGAAACCGTGAAGGTACCTCCTCTCGCGATCGAGACTTTCCAAGGACACGAGGGTGCGTGGATCCGTGGCGTGCGTGTTGGCTCGTTTTCCTTTTCACCGCGAAAATCATAAGCCGCGTCGAAGAAAGAAAAGTCCACGGTCGCCAGCGAAATCGCCGCCACGTTCCACATAACACGCCAGCTATTACGCCAATTTCCCTATCGCCAACATTTTTCTTCTCTGCTACGCGGCTGATCCAGAACGCTTTCTTTATGATCAAGCTATAAAACGACCATTAGCGATCCAATTAGGTTCACCGTCGATCGAGAGGGAAAGATAAGGCCGCTGCTTTTACTATGAATTGATTCCAACATGATTTCTTTCGATGAAAACGATCTTCTAACGAGCTGCTGCAAATTTCAAATTACCGCTATATCATTTTCAGTTATGCACCATCGTTTATGATGCTCGTTAGAATTTCTCGACGAAGACGTTCGCAACGTAACGCATACGTTCGTAACGATATACAATACGAGCTTTATAAAAATGTCGACATTCTCATCGCAGAAGATGAAATTGACCCGCAACGAAGCAGTTGTTAATTCCCAACGCGAAACAGGGGAAGAGTCGCGCAAAACGACGTCCCCTGATCGTCGAAGAAACACTGTAGGCGAGCGAGGAGCACGTTGATGGATTAGAAATCGTAGTTTTCCTGGATTGGGCGTCGTCCCGTTCCGAGATCGGCGAGAGTTACGAGGTTTTCTCTCCCAGGCCGGCAGCGTCGGCCGTTTTTGCGCTAAAATAACTCTCTTGCCTGTCCCTCGACTCACCGTTGACTTCTGCATCTCGCCGAGAAACGACAAATCGACGATCGCGACGTTTCGTTCGTTTCTACGCGTACCCTTTGACGCGGACGTTCCTTTCTCTGTTCGTCGGATTCAGCGAGTTTCCTGTCGACAAATCACTCGAATCTTCGTCGAATCATCTACTTCCAGGAAGTTGGAACGGCCGAGAATCTACCTTAGCTGCTTCAAAATCGATGGCGCATCGTCTTTTCTGGTCTCCCTAACGCGACATATGCGTTGATAGTATTTCGTCGAATGATATTTTACGAAGAAAATAATTGATTCAAAGTATACGAACGAGAACATTTTGTATACGTTATTTGCAACAAAATATCACAGTTTCGCTCGTTTATGTTAGGAGGTACAATCTTGATAACAGCATCAGGGATAAACCCCGCTTATTTTCCAGTTTCATTATCGCGTGTAGATCCCAAGCAATTAAAGTGGCTAGCCATAAAAACAGTTTGTAACAACTCTGTTATTTCTTACACTTTGATTATTTGCCTCGGTGTGCTGTGCGAGCTTATTTTTACCCTCGCCTTTCTTTACAACTTCGCCAGAAAAGTTACCGCGAGCAGGTGATACTCGCGATTAAAATAAATTTGGAAAAATTCAGATTCAAAGGTTCGAAATATACAATGAGTTTACGTATTGTATCATCCTAGAGTCTGAAATAAAAATTGGAAATATCGCAATCGTGCATGAGTCACGTTACGAGATCCAACAAAAGCAACGTCGACTTATTTCCGTGTGCAACAGAACGTTTTTTTTCCCGCGAACGTTGTTGTGTTCCTTGAAATCGTAAATCTCGATACGCGTACGAGTTTCGCGGAAAACGTCAGCTTTTCGGCGGCGGAACAATAGAATCGTGTTTTGGAGCTGGCCGGGAAGTGCAATTAAGGCCAGTTCGTTATCGAGAAAAAGCATCGAGCTAGTCGAAACCTTTCCTATCAAAGAGGAGCCATGTAGCTAAGTACTGCTCCTTCTCTCGTTACGTTTCCAGGATGGAATCTCGAAATCCTCGAGACAAGACACGGGTGCATCGAGCGTGGAACGAAAGAATCGCGATTTATCGAACCTTGCCTTCTTATGCGATCGCGACCCGTGCACGCACACGCATTGTGTGCAAGATAGCCGACCGATAAGCGGCCGCTGATAATCGACAACGATTTATGTACGATTCCTATCGTGCTCGCCCTACACGTTCTTGCGCGTGAGAGATTCAACAGTTGGCTGCAACTTAACGAGGACAATACCGATTGAATCGAATGCTACGATTCATTGACGAAAAAGGAAGATGTACAATAAAAACAAACGCGTACATATACAGTGATTTCGATAGCGAAACGTATTAGACGTTACAAGGGAAACACGAATTGCCATTAATACGAATCGAAGGGTCTTTTAGCCTATCGCGGAATAAAATCTGGACAAAAGATGGTTTTTTCGCGGGGTTACGTCTCGTAATAGAAACGACGCCAAGGAGCCGAACGAGGGGTTACGAAATCGGTCAGTTTCAAGGTTCGCATTGTATGCCCCGTTGCAAAAACACTTCCGACGTTTTCGTTGCACCTGTGTTTACCGGCTGCAACGAGACACGTCGAATTGGAAGTTCCTTTCTGCCGCGACCTCGCACGCACGTTCACCTATTGTGTGTACCGTGCATACGCAATCGTTCCAGTCTCGTTTTCTTCCCCGGCTTGCTCTTTCTCCGGTCGCTCGAATTCATCCTCGAGAAGACAATGTCAGGGACCGTGCAGCGAAACTCTCGTATAGTAGCTCGTCGACGAGATCGATCCAATCCCGGCGAAACGATCGAAAACGTTTATTCCTCTCTCGATCCATAAGTCTGGCTCTCGAGTGAAAAGAAAAAAATAGATCGTCCCGTTAAAACGTCCCGTCGACGATCGAAGGTTAATGTCGTGACAGCTCCGTTTACTGGCTGTCTGGTGCGTGGGTCCTATCCCAATAAGACGGAAAATAGCTTTCCCTCGCGAAATCGTGAGAGAGAAATAAAGAGAAGAAAAGAAACGAGGAGAGAAGAACGAAGGGCGTAAGGGAGGACGAAGAGACGCGTAAGATAAAGAGTAAAGAGGTGGTAAAAAAAGGAAGAGAAAAAAAAAAACGTCGAGGGAGAGAAAGAGAGACGGAAAGAGAAAAGAGGGCTGAAAGTGGAGGGAGAGAGCATCAGTCGCTCGAACATTGCGGTAGGCTACGCATCCGCGCATCTCGAGCGACGGCTCGCGACTGTGTGTGGGTGCCGGCGTGTACGTGAAGTAGTCGGCGACTCTGATCGAGGCGTGTAGAGACCGAAAAGAACCGAAGTCGGCCGACGGAAAGTGCCGAACGCGGTCGGCTGGCGGGCCGAGAGTACTGTGTTCGGTGTACACGAGCGAGAGCGAGTCCGGCGCTCGTAGTTGGAGTGTGAGTCTGGAGTAGTGAGTGAACGAGTCTGGACTAGCGGGCTACCCCGGTTCCGAGTCAGTCAGTGTGCCACCGGCAACCGTAGCCTCGGTGCGGAGAACGTGGATACGCTTCGGCAATTCTCTCTGTCCTCGCGTTTTTCTCTTTCTCGCCTCTTCTCTTGTCGCTCCCTCCGCGACAAAACACACTGGCGTCTACGTAACTATACGTACACGCGCACGCGAGCCTACACGCTCACCAGTGAGAACCGAGTTTTGTTTTCGACAGTGTTTTTAACGTGCGACCGATATATCCTCTGCTCTGGCTCGCTTTGATCCAGGTATCGAGCGCGACCGTGATACGTTACCGACCGTTTACTTTCGATCGCCGCCACCGCTGCCTGTCACTCTCCGTTTTCCTCGCGACAAGTGCAACGTACGTCGGTGTGCTCGAACAAGGAAAACGCGCGAGGAATGATCGATCGCTCGATGCCGCGACGATCGAACCGATACGTCGAGAGCGCGCGAATCGCGTGAACGTAGCCGCTGATATCGAAAACTGTTTTGCCGCGAGAATCCGCTCGTGCTTCGCGCTTGCCACACGGGACGAAGAGTTCTCTACCTCCCACGAAGATATTTTATTTTCACCGAGAGTAAATCGGATTCGCTCGATCATAACTTTTGCGAGCAGAGACGCGACCGTACCGTTTCGGTCGGTGACATTTTGATCGTGCGTCGATTGTTCGATTCGATCGCGGGATATCGTCGTCGTCGTCGTCGTCGATTCGTCGGTGAATTGTGTTCGATCGCGGAAAATAGTCTGTCGAGTGACGGTGCGACCTTTCGAACAGTCGAACATCGAGAATCGTTCGAAGCGGCCGAGAGTGTAATGTTACATTGTTCCGAGCGAGTGTCGAGTACGAATCGTTGAGGAATCAAGATGGCAACTATGCTGCCGTGGTAGCCGAGGATCCGTTGGAGGACAAACGGCGACTCTGATCGAGGCGTGTAGAGACCGAAAAGAACCGAAGTCGGCCGACGGAAAGTGCCGAACGCGGTCGGCTGGCGGGCCGAGAGTACTGTGTTCGGTGTACACGAGCGAGAGCGAGTCCGGCGCTCGTAGTTGGAGTGTGAGTCTGGAGTAGTGAGTGAACGAGTCTGGACTAGCGGGCTACCCCGGTTCCGAGTCAGTCAGTGTGCCACCGGCAACCGTAGCCTCGGTGCGGAGAACGTGGATACGCTTCGGCAATTCTCTCTGTCCTCGCGTTTTTCTCTTTCTCGCCTCTTCTCTTGTCGCTCCCTCCGCGACAAAACACACTGGCGTCTACGTAACTATACGTACACGCGCACGCGAGCCTACACGCTCACCAGTGAGAACCGAGTTTTGTTTTCGACAGTGTTTTTAACGTGCGACCGATATATCCTCTGCTCTGGCTCGCTTTGATCCAGGTATCGAGCGCGACCGTGATACGTTACCGACCGTTTACTTTCGATCGCCGCCACCGCTGCCTGTCACTCTCCGTTTTCCTCGCGACAAGTGCAACGTACGTCGGTGTGCTCGAACAAGGAAAACGCGCGAGGAATGATCGATCGCTCGATGCCGCGACGATCGAACCGATACGTCGAGAGCGCGCGAATCGCGTGAACGTAGCCGCTGATATCGAAAACTGTTTTGCCGCGAGAATCCGCTCGTGCTTCGCGCTTGCCACACGGGACGAAGAGTTCTCTACCTCCCACGAAGATATTTTATTTTCACCGAGAGTAAATCGGATTCGCTCGATCATAACTTTTGCGAGCAGAGACGCGACCGTACCGTTTCGGTCGGTGACATTTTGATCGTGCGTCGATTGTTCGATTCGATCGCGGGATATCGTCGTCGTCGTCGTCGTCGATTCGTCGGTGAATTGTGTTCGATCGCGGAAAATAGTCTGTCGAGTGACGGTGCGACCTTTCGAACAGTCGAACATCGAGAATCGTTCGAAGCGGCCGAGAGTGTAATGTTACATTGTTCCGAGCGAGTGTCGAGTACGAATCGTTGAGGAATCAAGATGGCAACTATGCTGCCGTGGTAGCCGAGGATCCGTTGGAGGACAAACCGGTGGCAGCAACGGAAACGAGCTGGCAAAGATAGAAACGATGCTCGAGGATCAACCGTTGGACTTGAGCGTTAGGGTGGGCGACTACGCCGAGTTCGCCAGGGACGAGAACGATCAGGATCAAGATCGCAAGGAACCGATCGACGACTACGGTAACGCCGCGGCCGCGCTCAGGTTACGAGGATGCTTCGTCGGCGCTACGTCCACCGAATATTCCCAGGAAAGGGAAGATCGTACCTGTTCCGAGGACTCGGACGACTCGTGTTCCGACAACAATCAGAAAGACGGCACCACGAGGTCGAGATCCAGACCACCCGGCACCAAACCTTACAAGAAGAATCTTATGAGACGATACCGTGAGTCCACCACACACCACTCCATCACTCTTATTCACGCGTTCCTTCCGAATTCGCGTTACGCTCGATTAATACCGGCCAATCTTCGCGTTACGTTTAAACGATATCGACTCGATTAACCTTCCTCACAACGATGTTCGAAATAATATTAATCGAATGTGACGCGAACGCACCGAACCAGAGCTGTTACCGTCTATTGTCGATACCAAAGTAGAACGCGTAATTTTACCGCTCGAATTAATTTTCGTTTAATCTTCAGATTTCATCTAACCTCACGCGACCCAATCTGATTCAAAAAGTCCTCCCACGAATAACAAACAGATAGAAGATTACCCCAACGAACGATAAAATTATGCGTTCCGATCTATTTCGATCAATTATTCGGCTTAACGATACGTTTACGATATCGTCGATAACGTTACGATGTTCATCGATGACGCTATCGATAACGCCAGTACCAGAACACACGCGTTTATCTCGCGAACGCGGTGATCGGGTCAGTAGTGTTCTCCGCTTATTATAAAACGTTGAACATAATTTGCGAACGAAAGATTTTTTATTGAGGATGATTTTCAAATTTTCGCGCCATTTCGGCCACCACTATACGCGTACGTAGATAGTATAGTGGAATCGAATCGCTTGATCTTTCGATCACGACGCGTGACATTTATTTACACTTTAGCCGAACAATCTTTCTCACCGTTTCGTTTTATTTTGAAATTTCGATTATTAATTTTAATGTTTCTTTCGCAATCGTCGAGAAATAGTACGAACGATTGTACGAATCCGTAACCACCTTATCTAACGGATCTCCAAGAGGATGTTCGCTGATCAGGAAGTTGCTTTTATAGGTTAGATGATCGTTACGACGATCAAATTAAAACGTATCCACGCGTAAGATGGTACCACCCTCTGTAAAGATATATAAGTTCTTACGAATATCTCGCGTTACGTCGAGTATGCTCGAACGATCAATCGAAATCTTTTAATCGGTTACGAACGCTTATATCTCGGCGCTCGTTTCGAGCAGAATAAGTTATTAAAATTCCCGTTGACGCGTACACGTATGCACCAGCGAAGATGCACGGACGAAAGGGAAAAGGGAAGGAGCGAAATAAAAATGCAAGGACCGGTAGAAGAGAGTGCGTGTCGTACTCACGCAACCGAAAATACGTGAGGCTGACTGGTCGTGCGTGCGTGCGTGCATGCGTGAACGTATACCGTACGTATGTGTAATTTCGACCGATAAAAATATTACGCAAGCCAGTCCGCGAAGGTCGTTCGACGAGCAGAGTCGGGTGACGGTAATGCCATAGCGATATTCGCCGATTCGAATGTAATTTTGCAATTTCTCCCGTTATCGCGTTCTCCCCTTCCTCCTTCGCCTCGTCTCCCGGCCACCGGAGGAAGATAATATCTTGTGACCTGCCCCAACCCCAACGAAATTAGTCTCTCGTATCGCTCGTTCTTGCTCGTCCGCCGTTTTTCGTCTTCCTCGATCCTCCGCTAGATAATCGCTTTCGACATCTTACTATTACATTTATAGATTTTTAAAATGTGTCAAATTTTTTCGTCAAACCGGTCGTGCTGAAAATGGTCGCTGTATCGGTTACGAATTACAACCACCTTTTTTTTAACAGAAATACGAAGGTCTATGGATGATACTCGTGGAAAGTATTGTTTGCCCGAGCCGGAAGTTTGGGAAAACATTTTTAACCCTTTCCGGTACGCGTGCAATCCCAAAGCAGCAGGGGGTCCTTTTTCTCCTATGGAGATTCTAAATGCTAGGAAGGAGGCGTGGCCCTCTTCCTAGGACGAAGAGAAAGCGAGCCGGGATTTTCGAAAAATTTCTCTCATTTTTCATTTTAGTCACAGTCCTCGATCTTGACCATCCTCCACGTGCCGTCTCCGAGGGTTTTTCCCTCGGTACAATATGATTTTTCCACTTTCTCTATTTCTGTTTGTTCGAGAAACAGATTTCCGAACAAGGATTTTCAAGGAGAAAGGCGTGAAATCCCGATAGTTTCGACTTAACTTTTTAACAAACAGTTTCCCTAGGCAAAATTTTTGATAAAACATTCGGGTATTCTCTGAACAATACTCATTAACCCTTTGCGCTCGAGAGGCGCCATTCGATTTAATACAATAATTTAAAAGAAGAATTATTTAATTAATTCTATAATAGTGCTTATGTGATGTATAAACATAGTGAAATAGACAATAGTGGAAATTATTAGTAGAGAAATAATAACTTCAAAAGAAGTCACTTAACATTTTAATTAATATTTTAAATTTGCTGTTTGCAAACAGTAAAATTATCTTCGAGTGCAAAGGGTTAAAAGTACAATCTTGATTTGACCTAGTATCCGGAAACTATTCCAAGAACCCCAAAATTAGTAGCTCTCCCAAAGTTCCTGCATAAAGAAGTTAATCGTTGATCGCGTATTTACGAGTGAAAAAGTGATTTCAGAAGATTTCGGCATGCACGTGGTCTTTGAAGCGTAGTAAAAAATAAGAAAATAAAAAAGAACCGAAACAACTCGTCCCTGTATTTTCCGGCGTAAAAAAGCAACGCGTCCCCTCAACTTCGTCAACCATGAAACGTCAACAGTTTTTGCCGTAGTTTTTTGGTGTTAGCGGTGTCGAAAAAAAGCCGGGGTTCGTTTATAAGGGAGAAAGGAAAAAGAAAACAAGGATACCGTTTGACTCGGAACCCTTTCCCCGAACCGAGTGCCTACCCTACACAGTTTGTGGAGAAAAGTCAAAACGGTATGCGTCAACTGTCTCGTTTCGACCGATAGCCCGGCACGGTTTTCTGTTTCCGTCGACGGTAAACCGTGAGCAAAAGTTGATAGAAGGAAAAAAGAGAGGTCGATTTTCGCCGGAAGGCGTTCTAAAGTTTACTCGTGGTGCTACCGGTGGCCAAGCTCGTTGGTGTTTGCGGTCTTTCCCCTCTTTTTCCACCGGCACCCGGAAAAACTTTCGAAACCTTTCACGGGGCAGGTAGCAGCGCTCGACGGATTATAAATTCCAATTCCCCGCGACAACTCGGATTCTTGCTCAGTTTTGTGCGTGCCCTGTCACCAAAGTAAACAGATTGATTTTTCTGTCAAGCTTTCCTTTTACGGTGATAATCCTGCTTAGAACCAACATACTTTTTTTCTATAATTGTCTTAACGAGATCGTCTAGTCGCTTGGTCTTGTTTTACGTCAACCACTCGAATTGTTACGTCGGTATCGTTTTCCTCGTATCTTTAGCGCGTACTTTGTCCGAAAGCGTCAGGGTAATTAGATACAGAGTAGTTTCTTTTGCTCGATCTCTTTCTTACCGAGACGAATTAATTAACAATATTTAATCCGATAAAAAAACGATGGCAATAAACTATAGAGTGCCCTTTCTTTTTTTATCGATCGTAAAGAAAGCGTCGGTATCTCCCCGATTGGTCAGAAACACGTGGGCAGAGGGACAGAGACGTTTCGCGGTCTAGGTTAAAATAGAGGATGATCATCGACGCGTTAAAAGTGTCGAGAGAGGCTCCTAGTCAAAGATACGCGTATAATGGTTAAAGCAAGGCGCTTAAGGAAGGGTGGCAGAAGGATAATTCCAGCCTCTAAATCACTCGATGTGAATTCGAGCGGACGTTCCGTCCGTCCTTCTCTCTTTCCTCGTACTCTTGTACACTCTGGTTTCGCGAATGCGTCTCTACCAGAGGAAGACAGATTACTTCCGGTTCTGCTGTCTTCTTCCATGTCCGAAGAGAACCGCTGTCGCCGTCATAGTCGTCTTCGTCGGTGCTGCCGGCGTCGTCGGGTTAATCAGGAAATGAAGACCGTTCGATCGTCTCGAGGGGGATGAAAGCGTCCGTCGATCGAACCGGCCATCGCAGGGTTAATCGGTGACTAGGGGTTGTATTACTAGCTAATGAGCCAGGAAAAGAAACCAGGACGTGTCCTTAGGCATAGAAGAATCGTCCACTCGGTAGAGTCGATGGTAAACTCCGTCGTTTTACTATTTTATCACCTGAACAGCCAGGATTTTAGATCATTTTCTAAGATACCGAATCGAAATTTTATACGTTTACGAGATACGTGACGATACAAAATGAACTTACTAATGATCCGATAGTACCCACGCGTCACGATTTCGGTATGTTTCAATCAGGCTTTCATCAATTCCTTTATAACCTTCGTTATCGTAGTTTGTCTTTGTGTTGAGCCGATAAAGCGAACATAACGTTCCGTGCAACAACTGTTGCCGAGGAGAATGCTATTGAAGCGATATATGGAAACCTGACGGTGGTTGTATTTAAATAGCTGACGGTTCGAGGAAGCACGTTAGCTCATTGTAATTCAGGATATTGGCCCGGCGAGGAAGGAAGGACTAACTTCCTGTCTGCGGTTACCCTCCTTCGGGTACCTTTCTCTATACTTGCCGCGGCGACGACACCTTTTTCTCTCCCTCCGGATGAATCCTAGACTAAGCTGCGTTTCTTTCTGCGCTTACCTTTTCTTTTCTTCGCTTTCTTTTTATCTTTATTTCTCTTTCTTCCGATTTCGGACGTAACTTTCATCGCTGATGTCTCGTTCAAATACACAGACACTTAGAAAAAGACTTTGCCTTTGACAATGTTTCGAGATCTTATTCTAAAGCTTATCGAAAGGAATTCGACTGGATGAGGATCAAATTATTTGACTGATTTTAAATCTGAATCTCATCATTGTTTCTGTTCATTAGCAAATAGATCTCCTTTGGAAAAATGACGTTATTAACGAGATATCGATAAGAAACGTATGACGACCGAGCTAAATGTGATTAGCGGAGGAAATCAGGCTGGAAACGCACCATCAATTATACCGCGAAACTAGTCGCCCCGACTTTCACGGTTCACGAACTTGCGAGAAAAATTTTCTGCCCCGCTCCACTTATAGAAAGTTGCGTTAGTGGAACGTGGCTGCGGTTCGATCGTACCATGTACGATTCACAGGATTCGAGAAACTTT